TTTGAGCGGCTCTCCACTTTCAAAGCGTCTACTGTTATTATCGAGCAGAGATTAAAATGTCTGGCTGAGCTTGTCGGCCTCGGAATGATCGATTTTTTTCTTATTCACTGTCTCGGTCTTCGTATGGACGTTTGTATAACTTGACAGCCGCTGGTGTTGCGCTTCGTCGCCAGGGTGATGTTTAGCTTGCTTCCTCTTCCGATGGGTTCGACGCGGGGCCCTAGCCTCTTCTTAAGTTCCGTGACTTTTTCTTGGTCTGTACGCACGTAATGGGATAGGAGGATTTAGAAGTCTGCTGGCAGAGTTGGAATCTGAATACCATGCCTCAAGCGTAAGTCGCTCCGCTTTTGAGGTGCCACTCCTTGAATGTCGAAAGTATGGTCAATCTCTGCAATATGGGTCGCAAGCCGTGAGTTTGGGCCTAGCCTTTAAGGCAGAAATAGACAAACAGACAGCCTGAAGGGCTACATTTTGCTCATTTTCAGGACTCATACCTCGGTTCATGATAGCAGGTCGATCCGCGGCACTGAAACAAAGCATAAAGCCAAGTCGTGTTTTCGTTTGCATAAACCTGAAAGGTGATACCTCAACTCCCGAATCAACAGATGCACGACGTTTCTATGTCAAAAATTTACAGTAATCCAATTCAGCTAGGGTTTTGAGCCGAGAAATCGGACCTTGTGTTGCAGCTACAGTTAGGAAGATGAGATTAGTAAATGTTCATAAGTGAAGTCACATTGAAAAGCACACGGGGATATTCCCCGATACATTCAGTGATACTACAATGACTGTCAGCCCAAATTTCCTGCAGAGGGTCGCCCACACATGTTAGCCAAGTTTCGAAAGGAAAAGTTTCGAAGGTTGCGGAAAATATGGAAAATCAGCTAGCACAAAATTTTTGGGGTTAATTCGGCCCCAACAGTCGGCACCAAGTTATTGCTAGGTTATTCTTCTCCGACGCAGCTTATTTTACTGCAACCGCATCAGATTCAAAAAGCTTTTCATTCGCATTGTAGGTCTTATCGTTTTCTGTCTGTTGGTTGCCTTCGGTATATGTGCGGCCCCAAAGCTACGTGGTCTGCGAGGAAAATTCAGTGGGGACAAAACTAAGATTAAGAATTTGGTCTTCCACCTGCCAATTTTGAGTGCGGTGACAGCTTGTTCATCACGTCCTACGTAAGCGGTAGTATTTTTTATGCTTGCGCATATGAAAGAAATAGCCCTTTGACTGACCTCTGAGACAACTAAGCCTGCTCTCACCGTGTCCGACTACGCAAGGTCAAAGTGCAGACACCAGTTCTCACCCTGTGATACCTGAGAAAGTTGACCGTCGATTTTAATTTACCGCAAAGTCTAGTGTGTTTCGAATACTGAGGTAGTCTGTAGGTGTTAGCATCAAAACCGGCACTGTCATCAGAATATGACAGGGTACGCAATTTCTAGATAACTCCAAGTACACAGGTCCTGGCCCATACAGCTTGACATAAAAGTAAAAAATAGTACATTACATGAGTCAGAAGGTAGACAGCTGGGGATTCTGGAGAACATCGATAACATTAACTCAACACAAGTTCAAATGTGGACAACTTTATTGTGTTGTTCTGTAACTGATGGTTGCCGAATAACTGGATAGACGATGACGCTAGCTTATAAGCACCTAACATTCGCAGTTATGAAGGAGCCCACACAGGGCGAAATTAACAAGATACCAAGGACCTTTAAGAGTTCACTGTACGTATTGTGGACAGTACTGACCGATGACGCAAGTGCACCTGAAACTGAAAGTGGGCAAAATATTCGGACTAGGAAGTACACGGAATTATAGTGTATGTATAATTATCCCGATAATTCATCAGGTGTTAAGGTTTTAGAGCTTTAATATTGGTATATACCAATATGG